CCCTATAGAATAGTTACGCTCAAACTTATTAAATGATCAGCTACCTCTTGCTGATACACTACAAAGTTTATACATATATTTGTTTCTTTCTATGACACATTTAGCAGTCTCAAATACATTATCTTTCATAGATTTTAGGAAGTCAAGAGTACTTGATTTTATACTTAGCAATTGTTTTAGTATTTTAACTTTAAACAATTTGGATCTTCTATTTATATCATATATTTTATAACTTTTATTTATTTCCATTTAATTTATTTTTAACAGTTACTTCTCATTTACCCTGAAAATATGAGACATTAGGTGAGCACAAATTAAGGTTCCAAGCCATTTCTTTTGCTAAAAGGAAAAACCTCCCAAAGTCGTTATACTTAATGCCAGCAGACAACTTGCTAGGAAGTTTTCATAAGAGTGATGAAGAAACTGACCTCATCCCAGCCACAGAAGAAAATTGTTATGTTTGTGGAAAAAGAAATTTCAGAATGCACAAGGAGGAGACATAAAGGGATTTATTAGGCAGAAAATTAAGAGTAAGCACTCCAAATAATACAATAGGGCCCCTCAAGAGAGAGAAGTATGCTACCTTTTTGGCAATGGGAAACCTGTGAATCTGTTCCAGCATGGTCTTGGTTTAGGGCAAGAGGATGGTCCACTCAGAAAGAAAGATAAATGGCCTATTTTACAGGCAAAAGGCATGAGCTCTGCCACTTTTTTAGTTGAGTGATCTATGATGTTTTGCCCCCCAATTTTTTTGAACTCTCTCAATTTTTATACCACAAAGGCAACAAAGCTTTGTAGCTGGAATATTTACATTGCCATTTATATTTTATAGACACATGTATGTAAGAAGCTAAATCTTTACCAGAGAGGTAAAGAACATTAAATGACATATTGGAAATATACAGAGAGTCTGAAAACACCTTTCTGGTAGTGATAGGGAATACTTTTATAAATAGCAAAAACCTACAAAGTGTTATATATAGTGTAAAATGGCTTCTGCTGTCCCTGACAGCAGTTTATTTTGTTTTGCTCAGAACTAATAGGCACCAAAGGCACTAATTGCTGAATGAGGCATTTGGTCTTACTGTGAGACAACAGGGCACATCAAGACCTTGAGCTCGGGAGAGACTGGAGCCACATGATAGTAACAGTGTCTAGATGAAAGAACCCATTGCTAACATCTGCTCCCCTGACCCTGAACACCCCCTTGCTATGGACTAGAATAGATGACTGGGCGAATCTTAAAGGTAAACTCCCCAACTGCAAAGAACTGTTACATTTGGGTTGAAAGTTAACTATTTTGTGACCGTGATTTGAACTGTGAGAATGAAATGTATCTGCCCAAATAAAGACAAGGCTGTGAAACCCTATAAAAGGAGGAGTTGTAACCCAGTGTGGCGTCGATCCAGGCATGGCTTATGTGCGATCGACCCTTATCGATAAATAAATTTGTCATTTTAGTTCCATTCTGCTGCCTCTCTGTGTGTCACTTACTGATTCCTTCCATAACAGTAGGGCGGATGAGGGTAGGAATCATGATTTATTAGGGCTATAGGGGAAAATGTTTGAAGTGCAGCTGGAGACTGCCACGGGGCTGCTGTGGAGTTTGGAGCTCCTTTTTATATCCAATCTAGCTTTTTGCCTAATGCTATCATTCTCCTCTCCATATATACATTTTCACCTGTATTTTCCCGTTGAGTGTTTAAGGCCAAGTCAAAGTAAGAAATATATATACAGAGCCCCCCCCACAATATATGCACACTTCAGGAAAAGAAAAATAGTATGTTTTTTCAACAGATGGTGTTATCCTCATATGGGGGCCCCTAGAGGACGTCGTGTGTCACAGAAAACCCACTGCACTGCTGGCCCTTAAGAGAACTTGAAAATGCAGGTGCAGCAGTCTCCATAACCAAGGTTCCCAAAGCAGCAATTCATAAATGCCTGGAAGCCAATGGCCACCACTATAAGCATCTCTTGTAATTGTGGAGGCCAAAGGTAACCTGGATTAATCTCATGATGTCTCAATACATCTAGTATTAAAATATTTATACAAGTTTTTCAGCCAGCTGTGGTGGCGAACACCTATAATCTCAGCACTTGGGAGGCTGAGGCAGGAGGATCACCACAGATTTGAGGCCAGCTTGGGCCTCATAGTGAGTTCAAGGTCAGTCTGAACTATAAAGTGAAACCTTGTCTCAAAAAAAAAACCCACAAAAAATTAAATAAAAAACCAAGCCTATTCATTTTTGGTGGAATATATATATCTCCTTGTGAGGCGTCTTTTAACTCTTCTGATTTTCCCCTGTACAGGTTGTGTCATCTGCCAGGATGGGTCATGGTCTGATGTGGCTTCCCTTGGAATCATGGTGGACATACTCCTCCTTTGTGATCCGGCTTCTAGCACTGGAGGTGATGCAAAATAGAGCCAGGACAAGACGTGTAAGCTTCTGACCAGCCGTGTCTAGATTTTAGCACAATGAAAAATGCATTAAAATGCAGATGAAGAGTTTTTTAAATTGACTAAGACTTATAATAATTTAAGGCAGAAAATTCCTCAGGAAATTAAAATTTAAATTAACTGGGTAAGAAATCTCTTTTGAGATGTATATTTTTCACCTTGCTACAACCAGAAATCATACCTTCCAAACATGCAAATTTAGGATTAAGTCTTGCTTAGGGCTATAAAAAGAAAAAGCATGCCAATAGTGTAATTTTTAAAAAGCTGGTAAATGATAGATCAACATAAGTCTTAGTTTTATGTATGTTGTCATGTTAGGTGTGTATTATATATCTGTGTGTGTCCTTGTGTTTGTATATCATTTAGATGGTACCAGATTAATTTAAAATAATAGCCTTCATTGATTAAGAAAGCATAAAACCAAGTGCCTTTATCCACATGACTTAAGCAAATGTTTAAGAGATAAAAGTGCCTTTAAAACTGTCAACATGGATTTTGCCCGAGTTAGCCAATCAGAATTATATATTTGAGGTGATTGACTTTCAAAAGAGCACTTCCTGTTTCATAAGGGTTATAAGAAAGACCGAAAAGCATAAAGGAAATGTAATCAATCTTTTACTTTATAACCTTAAAGCCTCAAGAATCAGTCGAGAAAATGTACCACACACATTAATATAGTGCTGGCTGGAAGTTATTTTATTTAAAAGTTTCACCTGTTTAGTTTCTCAGAGATGTTCGTTAGCACTAGTCAGTGTGAAGGCTGCTTCTAGTATTAGCAGAAGGGGTAGTAAGAGACAACATTTAGCTGCTGCTAGACATTGGTTATGGTTTATAGTGCAGGTGACTTTTAAGTCCTTGACTGTCCCAGGGGAACCCTTCACAAATCATGCTTTCAATGAGTAGAAGATAAAGGGCCAGGTGTGCCTGTTCCCCATCCCCATGGTTTTCTCTGACGATATCAGTACTGCATTAGTGTCAGGCTGGTTTGTTCCAGAATTCTTGCAGGCCTGCTTTTTTAAACAAGAGTGATTTACAGAGTTTGGCAGCTTCCCCTTGGTTATTCCACTCAGCAGAAGTTGAGTTGGATGACAGACATCCCTATGGCTTATTGCAGCAGAGAAGCGGGAGCAATTGAAAGCTTCTGTTTACTGCAGATTATCCGGTAAAAGTCTCTTTGAGAGCTTCCTTACAGAGTCTATGAGAAAGAATAGACATTTTTGTCTTATGCATTAACTTGTGTCTGAGTCAACATTGACCAGCCTTGTTTCTTAATTTCCCGAAAGACCTTGGTTGGTGTTTACATGGGTGCTGATTTCTGAAATTCTGGAATGATGTGGGATTCCCTCCTGCAATCTGTGAATTTTTCTAGACTTCTAAGTTTTGTCGTTTTAAATGCTTATGACCATTAAAGTTCCTTTTATATTCTTCCAAGTTGACTCATTAGGGGCATCCTTATTATCCAGGACAATTCCATTTGGGGACTTAAACATTTGGTTAAAGAATAATTCATTTGGGTCAATGTAAATATTAAAGTTCAAAAGCTTCAGAAAATACTTTGAAGATTTTAAATAGCATCCTGCTGGAGTGTACGTAAATGGAATCTCCAAGTCTTGATGACAACTTTTGAAAAGTATTTTTCCCTCAGGGAAAAAAATGGTTTGAAATATTAACTGGTGTTTGTCAGATGTCTCACATTTTGTAGGCCATATAGAGGCAACTATTAACAATTAAATTCAGTAAAATATCTGAGTAATATGTAATTAACTTAAAATATTCAAGACATTTGCTGCCAGGCGTGGTAGTAGACAAGTGTAATCCCAGCACTTGGGAGGCTGAGGCAGGAGGATCGCTGTGAGTTTGAGACCAGCCTGGGCTACATAGTGAGTTCCAGGTCAGTCTCAAGTACATAGTGAGACTCTGTCTCAAAAAACCAAAAAAAGAAAAAAGAAAAAAAAAGACATTTGCTAAGTATAAATTCATGTATTCTTTGCTTCTTAAAATTTTAAAATAATGTTTTGTCTGTTAAATGCATTTCATAAATTGTTGATATAAGTATTTTTGTAGCACTGTGATTTAAGATCAAAAGACACTTGATTCTTTAATCATTCTCAGAGTAACTGTTCTAGAGGTACAATAAATACCTTTAAATGGAGACTTTGTCAAACTATAGACCACCAAGTTAAAAATGAGCTTTAAATAGTAAGTCTCATAGTGATTGAGGGTAAAATTTGTTCATTATTTTAAGGTATCCTAAAGTTAATAATTTGTATAAAGAAAACTCATTTTATGTTTTAGTAATAGGTGGCTTTAAGAAAAAAAGTCTTCTGCTGTAAAGAGTTAATAACCATGACTTAACTAGTCTGTTAATGGGTTTGTTTATATGGCCTAATGCTGACAGTTTAAAGAGATGCTAAAAAGGCTCCCTGGCTTCTCTATTGTAGAGGAGAAGGTTACATTGGGACACGGATTGGAATAGGAGCTGTAGTTGTGGTTCCCCACACAGAGCCTCAACTCAGAAGGTCAAGGCTGCAAACAGTCCTGAGAACAATCCGATAACACTCTGGGGAACAGTCTGTTTTGAGAAAGTATATGAATAACTAGAACTAGGTGTTCATAAAAAATATTTTCTAAGGCTTTGCAAGAAATAATGTATCTAATAAAAAGCGAGGTCGGTGAGAGCTGGCTGCTGTTTGCCTGTGAGAGCTTCAGCCCTCTACTCCTCAGCAAAACTACATTCCTGCTGCCTGGCTGTCCTTCGCGTCCCCGCCGACAAGTGGCCTCCGAACAGGGACCTGAAGGGTAAGTCTCCAAAAGACGGGGGAACCGAAAGGGAAACAAAAAGTACGTTCAGGAGAAAACAAACCTTTTGGGAATTTCAGAAGTAGAGTCATGGGGAATTCCCCATCCACCGAGACTCCATATATCAAATTACTTCGCAATCTGCTGAAAAGTGCAGGGGCGAAGGTGAAGAGTTCCCAGTTCAGGGAGCTATTCTCGGTGGTAAGAAAACACTGTAATTGGTTTCACCCCAGTGGTAAAACTCAGTTAAATTTGAAAGTGTGGGAGCAAGTTATGCAGGCTTTACAGCACACTCATCAGGCTGGGGATGCAATTCCAGGGTCAATCTGGTTCCTCTGTAATTTAATATCCGTAGCTCTCCAGCCCTTCAGTCTGAATCGGAATCCTATGGTACAGATCCTGAGCACCCAAATCAGATACCGCCTCGGGGGTATGAGTCTGCGGATGGCATGTTATACCGACAACTTCTTTCCCCTTTGCTAGAACAGGCTCCCACTTGCTCAGGAGATAAAGATAAAGGTGAAAAGACAGGGCCGGGGATTTAGCTCAGCGGTTCCGCCGCCTGCCTTGCAAGCGCAAGGACCCAAGTTCGATCCCTGGTACAAACAAACAACCCCCAAACAAAAGGAAAGATAAAAAGACAGGAGACTGAATTTGGTAAACAATCCGAGGAGCTATCCTCAACTGAAAGCGAAAGTGAGGATGTAAACACTGAAGGGTCGGATTCCAACCCTTACATGGAGGATTATAAAATCCTGATGGCTCAGTTTAGCAGATAGCTGAGAAGGTAGATAAATTAACTTTCCAAACTGGAGGAGGAAATGTGAAGAAACGAGAAACAGAAACCCCGACTATTTGTAATCATATAAAGAAAGTTTTGAGCCTTCGGTCCCTCCCGCTCCTGTCTTTTCTCCACCAGCCACACATGTTGGCCCCGTGATACTTCAAAGGCCCCTAGTACAGCTTGGAGGATCTTTTGGGAAAAACTTGCTTTTGGATTTTGATAAAGATTGCTTGAGTGATAATTCCTATGATTACTTAGATTTCTATGGATTTCCTATACTTTGCCAAAATATGCCAGCTAATGCTCAGCATCCCCAAGGTTATGTTCAAATCGATCATCATAATAAGTAATATAAGGTTTTAAAGGCTTTTAAAGAAGCTGTTAATTCTTACGGTTTGTATTCAACTTATGTGACTGGACTTCTTAATAACTATGCAACTAAAAATTGGTTGATACCCATGGACTGGGAGACTTTAGCAAAAACAATTCTAGAGGCAGCGGGGGAGTATCTGCAATTTCAAACCTGGTGGAGGGAAGAAGCTGAACCAATGGCTGTGTCAACAGGCAGCGTAATCCACCAGGCCTTGCAGGAGATCAACTAACAGGGCAAGGTGCAGCAGCTGCACTAGCAGCTCAAACGGGTCTTGATGATGTCGCTATAGTTCAAGTACATTTATGCTGTATGTGAGCATGGAATAGAGTTGAGCCCCCTGACCGGAGTGCCCAGTCATTCACTAAAATCATACAAGACCCTGGGGAACCTTATACTGATTTCTTATCCTGACTTTGAACTGCTATTACTAGAGCTATTGCACAACCAGATGTTCAAGAGCTTTTATTACAGGCCCTATCTTATGAAAATGCTAATGCAGAATGCCAAAAGGCTCCACACCCCTTAAGGGAGCAGAAAACACCATTGGAGGAGTATATGAAGGCTTGTCATGATGTTGGCTCCACTACTTATCATGCTAATCTTTTAGCCACTGCCTTTAAAATGGTTAAAAGAGACCCCTGTGTGGGTAGAATAGTGGCCCCATACAAGAGAAAACCTAGATACACTGGAAAATTTGGTGCAAGAATAATTATGTGCAGGGCATATTGAACCTTCTACTAATCCATGGACTTCTCCTGTGTTTGTGATAAAAAAGAAAAGTGGTAAATGCAGAATGAGTACGGATCTTAGATAAATCAGTGAGATAATACAGTCTATGGGACCTTTACAGTTGGGAGTACCTACACCCACATTAATTCCCAAGGAATGGCCTGTTATTATTGTAGATCTTAAGGATTGCTTTTTCACTATCCCCTTACAAGCTCAAGATCGGGAAAAATTTGCTTTTACTGTTCCCCGCACCACTCTCTAATAGATAAACTGCTATTATTTTACTATCTAGTCTTTTCTTAAATTGATCACTTAAAATATACTTTTTAAAAAATATTTTCTTTTTACAGAAAAGCCTTGGAATTTCAGGGACAATGTTGTGTTTTCCCTCCCCACATATATTATGTGTTCTTCTCTACATGCACTGTGCTTAAATCCATAAAGGACACAGTTTGGAGCAAAAATATGAGTAATAACATGATTTTAAAGCTACTGATAACTTATGCATGGAGAAGCATGCTTTTGGAATGAGATAAAAGTGATGTTTTGCTGGGGGTGGTCATGCATGCCTATAATCCCAGCACTCTGGAGGCTGAGGCAGGAGGATCGCTGTGAGTTTGAGACCAGTCTGGGCTACATAGTGAATTCCAGGTCAGTTTCAACTACATAGTGAGACCCTGTCTCAAAAAACAAAAACCAAAAACAAACAAAAGTGATTTTTTTTTTGGTAAATTGATCACTAATTCCAATTAATTTTAGGTTAGTCCTCTTTGCATTACCTAGCAGGTGCTGAATCCAGTTTTCAGGTTCCCTTTTTGTTTAATGATTATGCTAATAAAGATAGAAGGGTGAGGAATGGCTCAATGAATAAAATTTGAAAAATAAAGATGAGAAAGAGAAGAGAAAAGGAAGATAAAAGATCCTATTAGGAGTGGGCCAGGAATTTAACTCAGTGCTTCTGCTGCCTGCCTCACAAGCACAAGGACCTGAGTTCAATCCCTGGTACAAAAAAAGAAAGAAAGAAAGAAAGAAAGAAAGAAAGAAAGAAAGAAAGAAAGAAAGAAAGAAAGAAAGAAAGAAAGAAAGAAAGAAAGAAAGAAAGAAAAGAAAATTTGTGATCCTATTAGGAGTAAGGAAATTAATAAAATTAGATAAAAGTGACAGAAAAGCATAAACAAGAAAAATGAGAAAAAAGAAAAAACAGCAAAATAAAGAAAAAAATTTAAAAGAAGGCAAGGAAAAAAACCCTCTCAAACCTCAAAGAAGCAATAAAAAAAAAAAGAGTGAAAAATGTCCTTTGTGGAGCTGGGGATTTAGCTCAGCGGTGCTATCACCTGCCTCTCAAGGGCAAGGTTCTGAGTTCAATTCCTGGTATGGAAGGGAAAAAAAAAGACCTTTGTGTTTTGATTGAGTCTTTTCTTTCCAGCATCTGTACTCTTGGAATTCAGCAGGTACAGGGGAGGGAGTGTTGCAGGAGGAACTGGTAAATGAAACACAGAGACGCAAGAGTAGGTAAAACAAAACAAAACAAAAAAAGTTTACTTTGCTAGCAAAGGGTTATCCTGCACCAAGGGCTGTGCTAAATGACTGACCCTGGGCTGGGTTACAATCTGCCTGTTACAGAAGTTTGACAATCATAACCTCATTTTAGGTAGTTTGGTAAGATATTCCAGTTCTCTCAGGTCCTATCACAAATCATATAGTCATAAGACAGTTCAATGTTAACCCAAATGTAGCGTTCTCTTTTAGGATGTTTATCTTTAGCTATTCAGCCTACAAGAGTGGGGGTCCAGGTTAGGAAAGCAGGGCTAGTGAGAAAGTTTAGGGCTTAGGGCATGGCAACTATTATCTCAGTTTGAACATCTGGTTTCACTCTGGGGATGTGGCTACGCACCCCTGGCATTTGTTAATCATAACATTTTAAACTGGAGCTATGTGCCTTCAAGTTTTAATGGTGAAACCTCTGGTATTTTTGTCCCAAGAAACAAGCAAGGCAAAGCAAATTACAGAAGTGAAAGGCAGCAGTTATTCTATATTGCCTTAACATTTTGTAGATTTCAAACTATTTACAGAAGTTCTCTCTGTCAGGAGGATAGTAATCGCGTGCACACTCACATTTCTGTGTGTGAATTCTGCATCCTGCCCAGCCTTTCCCCCTGGGTGCGGGCAGGCAGAGGTGTCCACCATGATGCTGTAGTCAGCCTGGCAGCTCCCATTCTTTTCTCTGTGCCACCCAAGTCATGGCTGTCTCTTCCTAGATTTGTGACCTTTGGGCTTGGGAAGTGCTCCCTGCCCCAGAGGCCCCTCTATCTATGCATTGCAGGCACTATCCAACCTGCACTGTACCCTTGTTCACACTGATAGATGGAGAAGCAAACAGACCCCTGAGCTTTGTGCTCATGTAAGCCATGGGGGGAGTCTTGGTGTTAGCAATCTGCTGGATGTAAAGCCAGCACCTTCATACCAAACCCCTCTGAAAGCCACACATACCCAACCTGGAGACTCACTCCGGAGGTGGGGAAGAGCTCTGCCTCCCTCCCTGCCGAAGTTAAACTTCTTGGGGTCTCCATGTCCAGCCTGAGCCCTCTGCATGACTGTGTCTCATGGTTGTCTCCGAACCAGTCACTGTGACAACGGCACACCAGAAACCCTGGAGTGTAGCTGCCCTGCAGTTGCTCTGGGGCTCAGTTGCAAACAATTAACCCCTTCCCACAGTGGCTCCTGATTAAACTCTCAAATGCAGCAGGTACCACACTGGACTTCTTCCCAACTCCAGCCTGCCTTGTGGGAAGTCACTGTCAGGGTAACACCCCACACTGTTTTGGCAGTTTACAAAGGCCATGGGCTTCTTTCGGGCCCAGCGCTGGTGGCTCAGTCTCTGGAGCCACTGTCCCTCTTTGGGCTTTTCCTGCACAAGCATAGGCAGCCACCTCCCAGGAGCCCAAGTGAGCCATCCAGACTACTTGCTTTCTCTGTGATGTGCTCCATTACTCCAGCTTCTCTGCAGCTTTTGTTCTTCCTGTTAGCCCCCTCCAATTCCTGGAGGTTCACCTCTTTCTTTCTCTTCATCAGATGGTTGTCTTCTGGATAACTGGAATCCAGATCCAGGAGAGG